ATAAAGCTGTATGCTTTCATTTTCTAGTTCAATGTGTAATAAAATTACTTAATACAACTCTTTTTTTATCAGGCCATAAAGAAAGCTAATAATAAAAAGTGGGAAAGCAATAAAAACAAATACTCGAATATATAATCGTACCTCACAATCAATATTATTGCTACCTGCCGATATTTATTTATAATCAAAACTTATAAATAACACTTTCTATAATGTGCTGATAACAGTGTTACTACCAACTCATATATGTCTATTTTATTCTTTAATAATTAATACAATGTATGGTCTTGAGATTTTCAGACATATATATATATATCACAAATCACCTGTAAAACTTACTGATAAAAACTGATAAACTATATACAATAATATATATATATAAATCAAGTATGAAGTAAGACGCAGCCATTGTTTAGTGTTCTTCTATATTTGTATATTTAATCTAATAATTTAGTAATTCCTAGAACAATGTTTTAACCATAATTATAATAGATAATTCTACAATTGAGTGTTGCCCATTAATAAGCGTTTTCAACCTCTTTATAGTTTTGACCTTTACAGAGGGTTGATTATTTTATATTAAAACAGTTTTAAATATACAAATGAGCAAGTCACTAACAGCTAGAGTCGATATTCCACCGCTGTGAAACGGGTTGTATTACAGTTACATTTTAACATTGTTTAAATTTCCAGATAGTGTGATGCCACCAAAAATTAGCGCTTTTGGAAAAAGTGAATAATATCTCTAACTGACGCAAAACATTCATACATTCAGATCAATAAGATGCGTTCAGATTGACTACTTAACGGGGATACACCTTGTACTTAATGACATTGGAAAGTGAAGAACAATTAATTTGGGGTACTAGAAAAAGTCCTGCAAAGTGCGGTGTCTTGTAACAGGTAAGAATCCACGAACATAAATGTCAGTGCCAAAAGCCGTCCACGTGCTCCAGGCAACAGTACGCAACACAATCATGAAGGAGTGGTGTGCTTTCGAATATGGCAGCCTTACGACGGAGTATTTTGTAATGGAAACTATGCTGCAGGATTATTGTCAAGATACATAACTGGACATGGTGTTTTGAATTGTAATAATGTGTTAAGGCTCTAGATTTTTATTCGAACGTACCTAACCGCTTTATACCTTATTCTCCAATCATTTTGATGAACCTTGAAAAGTATGCATTGAAATTGAAAAAAAAAAAACAACAACAAGGAACCACATAATATTTTACAATAACTTGTTTTGCTAGTGGAGAAACTTTTATAGTTTTGTATCATCGGATTATGACTTATGACTGTGTACTTAAATTGATACTCAAGCTTCACTAAAAATTTACAGTAGTATGATATAAGTATTATAAGTAAAAGGGCTGAAAGGTTCTACATATAATGTCTGTTTTATTTCCAAACTTTACCACTCCTCTAAAGTTGTGCTGAAACATCTTCATTAAAACCTTTATCTGTAATTCTAATGTATTGTATAAAGTTAAACAAACATCCCACTGTTTCTCATTTTTAAAAACATTTTGCGCTTTGATCTAATTACAGAAGAAATTGACCTTTTCCTTATGTGTTATTACTTGATTCTTAGAAGCTATTTTCAGATGCTTAGATAATGGCAAGACTGTTAGCTCACCTCCTGATGACTGTTAGTTCACCTCTTGGTGACTTCTAGTTTACCTCCTGGTGACTGTTAGTTCACTTCTTGGTGACTTCTAGTTTACCTCCTGGTGACTGTTAGTTTACCTTTTGGTGACTTCTAGTTTACCTCCTGATGACTGTTAGTTCACTTCTTGGTGACTTCTAGTTTACCTCCTGGTGACTGTTAGTTTACCTCTTGGTGACTTCTAGTTTACCTCCTGGTGACTGTTAGTTCACCTCCTGGTCTTTTTTTTTTCAGTGTGACCCAGCAGTTGGAATGAAGAACTTTTTCGATATGCTTTCCAGAAAGACTCATAAAGTAGTTGCCCTCTTTGGTGCTGCCTGTACTACCGTCACAGATCCAATCGCCAAAGCAGCTCAGTTTTTCCAATTAGTACAGGTAAAGCAATGGAACATTATTACTATTATTAGACATACTTGTAATGATACTGTGACAATTTATTAGTATTAGTAATATTTTATGTATACAACAGTGTGTTTGTTTGAAGTTAAGTACAAAGTTATCACAGGTATCGAAACCAGGTTTCTAACGTTGTAAGTCAGCAGACATACTGTTGTGCCAGTGGAGGGCGTATAGAACAGCTATAGCAAATATATAAAAAATAAATCGAATCTGGCGTTTCTTTATTGTGGTGAAGAGATTAAAGTTTAATTCTTAATAGCATCTGTAAGTTCTCTTACCAAATGAGGTAAGAAACTGTAATTTCAATTGTTGTATAAAAAAATCTCGAAGTAAATTGCGTAAAAATCCAAAGTTAAGCACTTACATTTGATTTTACTAAATATTCAAAACTGTAAAATTACCTTGTTAGTTACTTCTAAACTACGTTAAAATCATTTTGCAATATTCTGATGGACAAACATTACAAAACAAGCAAAGTATGTAAAAATGTGCTGCTCATAAGTTGCTGCTACTTAATAAAAATATAACTTTTAATTTTTTGTAATGCAATTTTCACATTTGAAAAGTGTGATCAAATCTTTCCTCCACTGACTGTTTTTGATGTAAATAGACAAAAACAGTTTAGGTGCAAACGAGAAGCTACATCTGTTTATTACTAATAACTCATCGTTTAAATTCATATATATACCAATATAAAATAAGGCTTAAGCAGTAGTTCTGATGTTTGACTGTTTTGGGAATGAAATTATTAATATTAATAGGGTATTAATGGTATTCTACATGTGATGCTGGTGTTTGTTTCAGCAACATAATAGAGTGTGATATTATAATGTGCTACTTACTTAACATTGTCTGTGTGTAGGTACTACAGGAACTATAACGATGAAGGTTATTTAATTATGCTGTTACCTTGGTTACTTAAATCTGTCTCTCCAAACTCGATGCTTCAGGATTATCACGAGAAAGTAATTTGAGTTTTATTGTGTTTTTTAGGTTACTTAGTTATGTTAGTTTGTAGGTATTGCTTCTTCAGTACTGCTGCAATATAGATTATTTGAATACGATATTGTTTTGATTTGGTCAGCACGGGCTAATAAACTTATTTATGTTGGAATGAACTTCACATAAAAATATATTTCTGATTTTTTCTATAATGTTTTATTCTTTCGATACATATTTCCTATTGTAAAGTTCTGGGTGACAGAGATAAGGTATTTGTTGCTGTACTTCCAAACAGTGACCGTCGACCAAATTAAAATAAACACAGTTTTGAATATATATGCAAGAAAACGATATTTACAAAGTTTTACGCTAATGCTATAATTTCTAAGAAACACGAAAACCTGGTTTGACTGAAGTGTATCTTCTATCATATTTTCCTTAATTACTCTATTTTCACAATATCTATCAGGCCTCAACCTTTAGTTGTTTACTTTGCAGGAGAAATACATTTCTTTCAAATCTCTATTTCTAAGCTTACCTCTATTTGTGTCAATAAAGGACAAACGGTTTGTTTCTATATCGCTAATTTTCAAAGGTCTCTGGTTATTGATAGTTAACATTGTGAAATATTGTATCATATTTTGAAATGCAGCGGTATGTATACAAATAAATAGTTATGACAGTTTTTTAATTTTTTTTATATATATGTTGTGCCTACAGTGGAAAGTTGTTGACAATATAGGCCATTACAGAAGAGAAGTTAGCTTAACTGATGAAATCGATTTTACCTTACTGCCGACTCAGTTTCGAAATACATAAACAACTTAAGTTCCAAGTCTTGAACAGTGATATTTCAAATTTCAATTAATTAGTTTGTTATTAAGTAGGAATCCTGATTTATAAAGTTTACATAGCATATCAAGTATAACAATGTCGAGTATTCTTGGGGGGTAATGTGCAATCTGCACATGCTGGTCCTTCATTTAGAGCATGCCCAATAGACCCAGAAATGGTACATATCTGCTTGTGACCAAACTGGGTGTAGTAAAGTCGCTAATAATTTGTTGTTTTTGATATATTTTCTAAATCCCAACAAGACGTCGTTTGTTACTCTTAGGCAGCACTTTCAACGGATCCGAAAGTTTATTGATGTAGCATCAAGTTTATGTTAATGTTCCATAATCTCGTGCACAGGAGATCTCAAATAACCAGATTTTGACTCTATAACTCAGAGCCTATAATCTCTTTTCTTTCAAATCGCGAAGTTTGTCTTCTCAGACACACTTCATTGTACTAAGCTACGGGTCTTTATTTTTGCAGTGGATGTGCATTGCACGTGTTCACGGGATGTATCATGTATACATACTATTCACTGTATAAGTGCCGACTCAGTTAGATATTTCTAACGGAAATATCATCACGCTTTTCTTTATTCTTTTCTCTGCACGAATTCTGCGTAGAACATTTAATTAAACACACAACAACGTTTAACGAACCGCATTGCAGTATCATCATTTAAGTGTTGATGATACTAATGACTAGCTTCTTGATTTCTACTTACCCCATAGTGGGATGGCCATCAGCTTCTTGGTTATGAGGTCCTACCAGTGGTGGGCTCACAACTTAAATTATTGAATCTTGTTTTACGCTCCTCACTTAGACATTTCATGAATCGTTATTACTTCTTCACCAATTGGATTGATGGTAGATTCCAAATTGCTACTGAAATCACAACCAGTCCTTGAGGTTGAGGGCTGTTGACCATAACAGGCGTTTTATCATGGCTGACATCTTCAGTACACTCGATTCACGAGAAAAGATGGTAGTTGGTTCTGGCAGTATGTGTCTTCGTCTATAAGGCTTAGAATTGAACATTGACTGGCTTTTGGATAAAATCATTAAGCTCCAGCTCAGCAGTGATGTTGATGATGTCCCCATTTCAGATACTGTAGAACAATAGTGTAACACGATGTTTTGAAAAAACAATAAGTCAGGTTATGAAAGGCTCAGCTTCCTATTGAGCAATAAAGAGAGTGTCAATTGTAGTCAGCCTGACATATGGATTTCATGAAAAAAGGTTACACAATACGTTACTATCAGTTGTAGCATCAGAACTGCAACAGTATTATCTTCCAGGAAAAATAAGATTTATAATTACGAAAAAACGGTAAAGATAATCCATCCATTGTTCAGTATGGTTAACCAGAAATGAAATAGTACTCATTCATTTACACAATCCTATAAGCCAGGAAAGGGATAGAAGTAACTAAGCCAATCAAAGCTCATGCTAAGCAATTGGAACTCTACCACAGCTCATTCATGCCAAAATAACAAAGTGAATCAGACAGCTCACACCTATATGAGTTAACACCACAGTCTGATTTTCTTCCCTGGCTATGGGATTGTCAGTATAAACAATAACTTCTTTGTTGATTCATGGAAAAGTAAATGACTGCCAGTCTACTAATTACACTTACTTTTTGATTGCTGTTGGTAAGACCAGCGCCTAGTGCTACCTTTATATTTATTTTTAACATTATTATTAAATAATAAATGAATTGCACTATTTTATTACTTGATGTCATAAGTGTTAGCATTTTGTAGTTCTAATATTATTGGTTACTGAAAAGGAATACAACAAGGAAATGACCAAAGGAACATGGCAAGGATTATTTGGATGCCACAAGTTATACATTAAGTGAAAAGTAGACCTTTCACAGTTAAAGATATAGCAACAATTATGTGCCACACACAAAACTGAAATTGCCATTTATAAAGGCAAGTTCAAATACTAACTTTCATTGGTGTAAAATAACCAGTTGTCTTACGAATCAAGGGTTGATAGAAGAACAATCAGTACTTTTT